TAAATTGGAAAAACTCTGAATATGTGTACTCGAAGCCAAACAAAACCAAGGTTAAAATAATACGTCATACTTCGACGTAATGCAGAATTCGTAACGTGAAACAGTACTGTCCGCTTGGGCGAGTCGAATGCAAAGAAATTTTCCACTGTGCCGATTTTAACGCAGTTGTTTTTTAATCTGTTCGTCTTCGATCACATATTCTGCTTGCAGAAGCTAGAAGTCCCAACTACAAAACTGTGCTCTGCGTTCGCAAGCAACGATTCCAGCGACAAAACGTAGTATATTAATGAAGTAGACTATTTAAATAGTTATATTTGTTCAATACTTTTAATAATTTGTACCTCTGATATAGTAATGCTATAGATTATTTAACATTTATTTTATTTTATGACTCAAGTATATAATACTAGGCTAGCACTTCGATGCAGCAGTTTTAAAAATACGTACTTACATGTTAAAATGGTCCTAGGGGAGTTAAACCTCATTTCAAACCTGGGCGAGTCCAGGAAATATAAAACCCCTCACGGACTGCAGGTTAAAGTCCTCAATTCAAATATTCCTTTTGGATCGAGGAAATACCTCCTAGGGTAAAAGTTATGGAAGAAACCATTCTTGCATTCTTTCCGCCCAAACAGACAGTAGGTTTTAGTAGTCTCGCAAGGTGAGCCACCTTACGAAGATAAGTAACCTGGGGCCTGAACCCTTAGCGACAACGTTTGCTGGGGCATTTGTCGTCGCGTCGAGCTATGCACATGACATCACTAATGGGAAGTCGTTGAAGGACTTATCAGCAACAGAGCAGGGAAAAATTCCCAAGGGCGTGGGTCCTAGCATGGAAAACATGCAGCGTAAGGTATGTCTGCATGATTGACGTCGTGCGGGGCCAAGCCACCGAGCACAGCATGTCATCCGAATAACTTCGTCAACCGGAAGGAATGCAATGACACGGACGAGGAAAAGTTGCGAAAAATGTAAATCATTTTCATTGTCCTGAAAACGACATTTGTCGAGATTGTGATGATGAGGGTAATGTAAAGATGAGTTACTAAACCTCTCTAATGTAAGAGCATCTCCACTGAGACGGTTGGCTTGGGGGCGCTGATGATGGGGAACGACACCCCCTCGACGACGTTGCATGTGCCCTTGCCACCCCCACCGCGTTGCAGACGAACGTAGCCGGCTTCGCCCCAGCTGGCGCCCCACGAGTTGCGGATCTTGTAGGACGAGCTGTCGTAGCCCACGGCAACGA